CTCAGCCCTCCTCTCGTGTCCTCTGTGTGGCGGCGGCGCTGACTCGTGTTTCCGTTCCTCCATCTTGTGTTTCAGGTACTTTCAGGCAGCGTGAGGGTTGCACGCCGGCAGGAGGAGGATCTGTGTGTGCTGACATACGAGGTGAGGATGTGTTTGCGGTCTCTGCTTTCCTGGTGAGGGGTTCAGATTCTGCTGCAGCCGTTACATGACCAAAGCGGTCATATCGATTGGTCAGGTGACATCTCCATGGTGACGCTGCAGGTAGCACGCACATTCAGCTCTTCATGTGGAAGGGTGAAATCTGACCCGAACCCGCAGCCAGGATCAGCTACAGGAGGATTATTCTGAGCATCACTCGTGCTAAGCTGCTCTGGCCTGGATCAGTCTGCCGCGCTCGCATCATTGGCTCGCTGGGTCATGGCCGCACTTCCTGTCTAACAGCTGCTCTCTGTTTCAGGCTGGATCGTCCTGTGGATGACCTCCTCTCAGGACTCGCTCATCCTTCAGGTACAGACACCGGCGACGTGATGATGATGTCACACACGTAGCACATGTACATTCACCTGTGATAGCCAGCAGAAGGAAGGGGAGGGACTAAGATCGTCCCAGATCGTGTAACCGAAAGACTTTCCGCAAGCCGCAGTAAGCTCCTCCTCCTCTGTCGTCGTGTCATCACGCAGGTGAAACGTTTGAGAGGCGTTTGTCCTTCTAACATGCTGAAGGTCTGTCTCGCCATCGCCGCTCTCAACTCTGCAGCCTGTCATCAGATCTGCAGTCCACTGTTTTTGAGGTCATTTAATAGAGGAAAGGGCGCCACCCAGCCCGTAATTACGTCTTTTGTGTGTACGTTTGTGATTAATTACAGCGGAGGGAAGGACCGCTCCCTGACCACCTAAAAGGTAGCACGCCTGGGGTGGATGACGATGGGCGTCTGCGTGCTGTTGGCGGACAATTAAATTCATACCTCCACCTTGAGATCTGAGATATTGTAGCTTATGTCGGAGAAGGCTCTCCTTTACCAAGGAAACCAAGACGGGAAGCAAAGAGACAGTGGCGTCTTCCTCCTCACCTGAAGCCTGTGCTGACGTCATGGCGCTAACACACAAATGCATAAACGTGCTTATTATAATTACTTATTAGCAGAATAGACCTGAGATCCTGGCGTCAGGTTCAAGCGTCCTAAAAATCCCGCGTTCCCTCTCAGAGACAGTTTGGTTGCATCGTTTATTATTAAGAGTCCAGCGGCGTCGCAGACACTTCAGCCAGCAGCTAGCAGAGGCTAACGGCTGCCCTGCTCCAGGTTCAGTGCATCGTCAGCTGTCGTCGGTCAGCAGCGAGCTCCTCGGACTCCTGTCAGAGCTTTACAGGCGTGTCCAGAGGAAGCAGACGCTTCCCACACGGCGTTGACGGCTGAGGTAAACGGTGAGCTGCCAGCCTTCAAAGACGGGGAAAGTCTCCCTCCCTGTTCAGCTGCTCTCTGCTGACCTCAGATGGATCCAAACCAGCAGCAGCAGGTTCGACGCCGATCTGTGACTCAGACGTCTCAGAGTCAGCTGAACTTTGACCTCTTTTCAGTGTCTTCCTCTCGCCGTGTCTCGTACAGTCTCCACCCCCGTCATGTGACATCACGTGGCCTGACTTTGCTACCCCTCCGGGCGTTGCTGTTGATTAGCCTTCTGTCTTCATGTAAATGAAAGTGGGCAGGACTCGGGTTTCCTGTTGGCGTCCTCACATGCGGCGTGTTCTCCCGCTGAAATCAGTTCATTCATTTTCCAGTAGCTCCCAGTTCAGGCACTGTGGTCCGTTTCTCACAGGCGTACGCAGCTGATTTTAAACGCCGCTGCCTTCGACTCACAGAGTTCAGCAACATCAGAGACGTGTGGAGGGATTTGTCTTTGTGAAATGATCCAATATGAACTTTTAAAGATGATTTATAAAACAACAAAGCTTCAGGCGTGTGCATGTGAGCGTGCATGTGAGCGTGCACATAGGCGTGCGTTCGTGAGGTGGAACAGAGGGCGTTTCCATCGTGTGGAGAAGCTTTAAAGGACGTTCAGTGTGACATCAGAGGTCCTCACAGAGGGGGAATGTCAGTTTGTGTGTGTGTGTGTGTGTGTGTGTGTGTGTGTGTGTGTATTAACATCTTGATGGGGACCAAAAATTGGTAGTTTATTATACTTGTGGGGACAAACAGTCAGGGTTACAATTAGGCTCAGGGTCAGGCTCAGGGTCAGGCTCAGGGTCAGGGTTCATTTTTGATGGGTAAGCGGATGGGAAAGGGTTATGCCAATGAGATGTCCCCACAAGGTTATAAATACACACGTGTGTGTGTGTGTGAGAAACAGGAAGTCGCACAGTGATCAATGGCCTGCCATTGGCTCCCCAAGGGCAGGACGTGGTCATGTGATGTGCATTAATCGGAGCAGAGTGGCGGGTGCGTGTCTGAACACTACATTCACACGTTACCAATCAGAGCTTTGACCTTTGACCTCCACATGCCAGTTGAACGTCCAGTGAGCTCGCAGTCAGTCAGAGCAGACCGCTGTGGCAGCTGTAATCATGTGACATCATCATCAGCTGTTAGCACATTAGCAGTGTTAGCTCCACTCCGTCACATGCTAACATTAGCGTTAGATCAATGCAGCCGCACTTCCTGTTCTGGAAACAAACGCAATCAATGAGAGGCCTGAGGGACGGACACGCACACACACTTTACTGTAGTGGCGAGGGTGTATTTGATGCTGATGACGGGCGACCAAGCATCGATCTGCACACGCAGAGAGAGGGTGAGGGGGCGACGGTTGCAGCAGTCTAGTTGCGGTCGAGGCGTTGTGGTGGGTGGTTGTCGGGCGTCCGAGTCGTTTTGTGCCGCTAACTCGTCTTCTCCTGCAGGACTGACAGACCGACACGAAGTTACGCAGGAAGGAAGCACGACCTAGGATGGCGAGTGCGGCGCCGGCCAGGAAGCCGTACCGTAAGGCTCCACCGCAGCACCGCGAGTCACGCCACGCCCTGCCCACTGCTCCGCCGCCACCTGCACCGCAGCCCGACATCAATCAGGTAATCAAACACACTTTAAAGACACCTCCACACCCCCCGCAGCACCTTGCCCGTCAGCGGCTGTCTGGCGATGGGATGAGGCCTGGCGTCCCAACCCCGCCGCCGCCACTCTCAGACAGCGAGCTGGAGGTTTCCAGCCTTTCCAGCCTGGAGCTCTGCACCCCGCCGCCGCTCTTCAGAGGACATATCCACCAACCCAGCTCAGCGAGAACCGCGGTGGCGGGCATGACTGCATCCGGTCACGATGCCAGGATTCCTCACGGAAAGCCGCGACCTCAGCGCGGCACGAGTCCTCGCAATGTCAAGACCTCCATTAACACAGGAAACCAGGCTTTCCTGGGACATGGAAGCTCCGCCCCAGCCCCGAAACAGGCAGTGAGCTGCAACCCTCGAGGAAGACATCACATTTACTGCACGAACGCCGCTGGCCGGACGCGGACCGCCAGCGCTCCTCGGAGCATCCTGAAGCAGCCGACTTCACTGGGTGTGGAGCCCGTTGACATTATCAGGAAGTCAAAGTCGGTGGAGATGCTAGATGACGGCAGAGGGCGGAGCAGCGCCAGCCGGTGCCCTCCGACCCCTTCTCTGGACCGGGTGGAGCAGCAGGGGCTGACCTGGCGGCGGTCCTCGTCCCTGCCCTCCCCCGTCAGGACTGACTGGAACTGGAGGATGCAGGCGCTGCAGGAGAAGGTCCGCTTCTCTAACTTCTTGGATGAGATCACCTGTCGGGTCCTTAGCCCCGCCCGCCTAACACTGCTCGGCAGGTCGGCTTCTAAAGAGTATATAAGCCCCGCCTCCCAGCGCCGCCACCCCGCCTACAGAAACCAGCAGGTGGAGGGGTCTTCTGCAGACCGGACTCGACGCTGGGACAACTGGGTGGCAGCGCTGCAGCGGCCCGGAGGCACGCAAGAGGAGGGGGCGGTGCGGGAGACGGCGAAGCAGCAGCAAGGGTATGGAGAGTGGGCGGGGACTAAACGGCAGGTGAAAAGAGGAGTTAAGGTGGACAAACGTCCTCTCTCTAATCTGTCACTGCTGTCACACATCAAGGTAGGTCCACTCCACCTTTACCCCGCCCCCAACCGTTTCCTGTTGTTGTTTTCCTGCTGGGGGTCAAAGGTCACCAGTCCAGAGTAGCGGACTGGTCTTAGCGGTTCACTGAGCTCATCAGTTATTGATCATCAAGATGACATCACACAGGGGCCACATGCAATACATAGGACACCAAACTCCCACTCTGACCTCTGACCTCGCTTTGACCTCTGGTCGTGCACCCCTTGATTCTTGTAACTTTGTGATTGGCTCTTCAGCGGTTACGCTGCGATGTTGTCTCCGTGCCGACACCATACTGCAGCAGCTTGTTGCGCTTTAATGGCGCGTGCGTGTGGTGACGGCGTGTCGGCAAGCCGAGCTACGGCTGCGAAGGGTCCGTCCAATCACGTGACAGTGAGAGCAGAGCGCAGGGCGGAGTCCAGAGTGACGCATACACACGGTTTAAAGTGCAGTTTGTTGTGTGTCTGATGATGTCGTGTTGTGTTTCAGGAGGCGTTGTCGGACTCGGACAGGATCAGGTGAGTCCGTTTGTAACTTCCTGTCTGTCACGCCTTCTTGTTAGCTTAGCCGTTAAAACAGGAAGCTGTTTGTCATCAAGCAGTTTCAAACTAAAGGTCGTGTGTGCTGTTTGTCCCGTTAGTGTCTGTTACTAACAGGAAGCAGCTTTTAGTTCAGCCAGGGTCATGTGGTCTCTGAACAGGAAGCTCTGTCTTCATCACTTCCTGTCTCCTCCCAGAATCCTTCAGCAGCAGAATGAGGACCTGCGGCGCCGCCTCTCTCTCACCACCCACAAGATGGAGGCCATGGAGGCGGAGTTTGACAGCAGCCGCCACTACATGGAGGCGGAGCTTAGCCGGACTCGAGACGACCTGGACAAGATGAGAGACAAGTTCCGCAGGTGGGTGGAGTCAGTTCGTCAGGGACGTGTCGGTCGCACCGCTCGCTCTCATCCATGAAGTACACTCGCAGTACTTGTACTTTGATGTTTGCAGTACTTGTACTTTGATGTTTGCAGTACTTGTACTTTGATGAATCGTGCAGCTGTACGCTCACGGTTGCGTTTTCTTTAACCAGCAAACGCGATCCTCGCAGCGCCGATAAAATCAGCTTTCCGTACGCGTGTGCTTTGCTCTGATCGAAGGTTAATCAGCTGACCGGCCTGCGCCCGAGTCTGCACGCGCTCTGTCACGCTGCTGTGTGTACTGTGTTTCTCGCAGATCAGAAAGTACTTGTTCACGTAGCTGTCAGCGACGCCCGCCGTCACAGCCACACGTGGAGTCCGGTCGTCTCTTACGCGACCGTCCACGTGGCGGTTTCTCGTCTCTACAGGCGGGGAAACGCTGATCACAGCGCCGAGTCTGTATCTGCTCCGGCTCAACACTCTGGCTCCAATAAGCCTCGCCTCCAGCGCTTCGTGTCTGACGCGGCAGCGATTGAAGGGTCGAACGCACTGCTGCGGTCTGAGGTCGGGCGAGCATCACTCATACTTGCGCTCTCTCTCTCCCACCTGCAGACTCCAGAACAGTTACACAGCGTCTCAGAGAGCCAATCAGGATCTGGAGGAGAAACTTCACGCTCTGGTAAACCTCTGCCTCCCACTCACCTGACCTTTGACCTTGGGATACTCGGGAGCACCGTAGCAACAGGGTTGATCGAGCTCATCCAATAACTGATCAATACCTGAATAAAAACACTGAGGCAGCGTATTGATCACCTGTGGGAGAGCCACGGTTACAGTTTGGACGTGTTCAAACAAAATGTTCAGTTCTTTTACAAATCCACTGAGCATGTGCAGTGACCTTGGGTTATTGGGCAGTTATGGTGAGGTCATCAGCAGGAATGGCGTGTTCAAGAACAGTGACTATTCGCGCAGCGCAGACAACGCTAGCTGGCATTAGTGTTGAAATTGAGTCAACCAATCACTAACAGTGCCAAATGAGTGTCAAGCAGCATGACTCCGCCCACTGACTCCGAATGAAAGAAACAATGAGCTGCTGTGGCTTCAGAGAGGACGTTAGAGTGAAGCTGCTGTCCGGTCTTTAAGTGATGACGTATGAATCCTGGGTCCAAACTGCTGTTTATTAAGGCTGTTGTGTTTTTAACATGTTTTCATGTTTTGTATTTTGTTCTGTTTAATCTGAACAAGCCACTAAAAACAGTCAGTGATCACTGTCGGCCTGTTTTTATTGCTGCTGCTCAGTTTTAAACCTTTACGATGTAACTGCAGCCCAGCAGCAGTATATGAATGACTAACCTCGTGTTGTGGATGGATTATCTCAGTTGTTCTCCTGACTGAAGTTTGGTCCGTTTACAGCATCCTGCCATGCGACTGCATTTGTCTCTAACCATCAGGAACCCTCACGCTAACTTTTATCAAGTGGAAAGACGTTAGTGAAGCTGGAGGATGAACACTGTGTTTATGCTAACATAGCTGTGTAGCTAGCGATCACGTAGCACATCGTTATATAGCAGCTAGCCCAACTTCAGTAACCCTACAAACGTCACTGCTGTTTAGTTTTTTGTCTTCATTTATGTTGGAAGTGACAGCAGAGCTGTACGTTTGAATTTTTTCAGAAATCTCTGTCAGAACATGCTATATCATGTTTAGCAGGAAGCTAGCGAGCTAACTTCCTGCTAACTTCTAACTCTGTTAAATGTGATAAATCCTGTTTTCATGGATGTTAAACTTACTTGTTTCACCTGGTAAAGCAGCAACGCTGATCGTTTTATTACAGATGAAAGAATTTACACAGTTTGTGACTCTCAGTGATGCCGCAGTGTTCGTTTGACTTTGGGACCTGCAGCGGAGTTTGGACCCGGAAACAGCTGATGATGTCAGACTTAAAGATTGGATATTGGGTGTCAGTTTATTCGTGCTAGCGTGCTAGCATGTGAGCCAACGGTCCCCAGGTTCATGCAGTGTAGCGGACTCACAGCTAGCTGTAGCTATGTTGCTAACATTATTGCTAACAGGCCATTTTCCAGTTTCGCTGAGCAGCTAACGTGAGCCTGTTTGTGTCTGTGGTCAGTCGTTATTTCACTCCTTGGGATATAATTTACAGGCACAAAGTGATGTAGCGTTTACTCTCCGCAATGGCGATTGTTAGCCAGCTAGCTGTAAGTGGTCTCTGACACGGGCAGCGGCATAAACTGCTCTGTTTCTGGTGCTCAGGTGTGCACGCTGCCGAACACGCAGCTCATGAGTGGGCACAGGGGGTGCCAGCGACCTCTGAAAGTTTGGGTGGAGCTCAGCTGGGGTGGGTGGGGTTAGAGGTGGTGAACAGTTGACAAACTTCCTGTTTTTGTCTGTCGTTCTTCATCTGTTTCTTTCTTTCTCCTTTTTCGCACGCTGCTCCCTGGTGGATTGACTCATCTTCATCACCTCCACCTTCATCACCTCCATCCTCATCGCCTCCATCAGGCTGCTGTCAGTCAGACATGGGTTCATGCAGTTGCGTTTCATGTTCTTCTTCCTCCTCCCTCTCTGTCCCTCCTCCTCCTCCTCCTGTTTGAGCACCAAGTCCTCTCGTTTAGCTGTTAAACTGATTTTTCTGACCTGAGCAGCTTTGAGAGGCGTGAGCTCAGCCTCCATCAGCCTCCACCTGTTCCTCCTTTAGTGTTGCTGTAAGTTCTCTGTGACCGAGCTGGACTGAAGATCTGGCTGATTTCCGCCGTAAAGACTCGGCTCGCTGCGTTTTGAACTTTTTGGGCTTGGTGTTCAAACTCCGCCCGTCTCCGCCGATGGCGGTCGCGGGTCCAGGTTTTCTGAGCTCGCCTGACGGATCAGGACGAGACGATAAAAACGTGTCCGATATTACCGAACATTCACGATAGTGAGGAAAATCATTCCCATCAAAAATACTTTTCTCCAGGAATATTTTCTCAATTTTGTTTTTCCTCTTTGGAGAAAAATCAAATCTCAATTTTAAATCCCGACTTTTCTGTCTGTTGGATAAAAATGTCGTTTGTATTTTTAGAATCAGACTTTGTTAAAATGTTGATTTAAGACTAAATATTTGTTTCTTGCAGCTTTTTAAAAAACATATTTTGATATAAAATGTTTCTGGAAATCAGAACTTTTCTCAGATTATTTTGACATAAAAAAAATATAAAAAAATAGCGATTATTTTATTTTTTTCCAGAGCTGCTGTGAACAGCACACCTGTTGGTCAGTAGCAAATTGTGCTCGTTTCCACCTGCAGTGGGCGGAGCTTGTCCATTACATTCTCCGTGGTGCTGCACGCGTGCAGAATGCGTTCCTCTCGCTGCGGACGAAGGTCCTGATCTGACGATGAGCAGGAAACTGATGCTCACGTTTGAGACGTGCTTGCAGAGTAAAAACTGAACATCGAGCTTTTTTTCCAGCTTCAGCGCTTTGATCAGGATCTTATCGATCTTATTGATCTCCTAGCACACGCCGCTGCTTCCCATAATGCATCTGTAAGAGCTGCTGGCTTAATGCAGCATTCAAATGATCTGGGAAAACTAGCTTAACTTCACAGCGCTGGCTGAAGGAGGACTAGTTTGAAAACAGGAGAAGCCGAGCTGCACGGAAAACTACAAACATGTTGCCCACACGGAAAAATGTGCGATTCAGTTTTTTCCCACATGATCTGAATGTAGGTTTCCGCTGAAGGCCCACCTGCTGTTGCCTCAGGCTCCTGATTGGCTGCTTTACTGTGACTGATGGCTGGTACGCTAATGCTTTGTCTTTGCCCCGCCCACAGCTGCGGAAGGTGGAGAGGGACAAGAAGACGATGGACCAGGAGATCGTGCAGCTCACCAACAAACTGCTGGAGGCTAAAAACACCATCGACCATCTGGAGGAGCTCAACGTGAGAACAAACCGTCACTCAGTGTAAAAACGTTCAGCTTCCAGGTCAAAGTTCAAAGTGTCAGGTGTTTCACAGTGAGACGACTGTGTGATAACTTCCTGATTGACAAGACTTGCTGTGACCCCGTTGATGGTCTCTGTAAAACATTGTTCTGCAGGATGGGCTTTTATTTTGTTTAATGGTGTCTGTTTCCTGTGAGCGTGCTCCGACTGATGCCGTCTTCTGTCTGCAGGAGCGTTACAGGCAGGACTGTAATTTGGCCGTTCAGCTGCTCAAGTGCAACAAGTCGCACTTCAGGAACCACAAATTTGCTGATGTGAGTAACTTTTATTATTACGAGTGGGAAATGCTCTGAATCTGCAGTGTCTCCAACGTCCAGCAGGGGGCGACTCTGAGAAAATGAACCTCCTGCTCAGCTGACCTCTGACCCTAGTAAACTGTTTCCTGATTGTTTTGAGGTCTGAGTGAAACAAACGTGAAGTTAATTTGGGAGGATTTTAGTCCCTGTGGCGTCACAGCACCGCAGGAAGCAGCTGAGGGCGGGCCTACCTGTAGTTATCAGGTCAGTGTAGCTCAGCAGTGTCTCCGGTTTCAAAGGTCACATCTGCCTCTCACTCTGCTCCAACTGTGGTAGTTTCTTGCTCCAGCTGACAGGCAGAGTGTCAGTACTGAACGTCAGAGCTGACGTCACTGCAAGGTCCTCGCCGCTGCAGATGGCGAGGAGTTTTCCACTGGTCAGCAGGAAGCGGGCGAATGAATCTCCAGTATAACGCTTTAATGGAGGAAACTGGCACACGCGCTAACGCCATTAAAGCGTGAGAGTGGGATCGATCTGCTGCCTGCATCAGACCCATTAGACACACACGGATATTTCCAGGAGAGTGTGTGAGTGTGTGTGTGTGTGTGTGTGTGTGTGTGTGTGTGAGGACTACTGACTTTGAAATGGGTCACCATGACAACCACTGCATATGACTTCAGCTCTGCGCTGGATTTCTGGAACAGGAAGTGACATATTTGGGTGAGAGGCGTGGTTATCTGGCCGTAGGTATCAAAGAGCTCCAGTTCAGGTGAAGCCTAGCAGACCATTAGCAGCAAGAGGCCACGCCCCTAACAATGGAAACCTTAAATACAGTTTAGACGAGTGAGTTAAAAGCATCCTCGCCGTGGACAGCTGTCACGTTTGTCTCTGACTTTACTTTGATATATAAAACTGTGTCGTCTGCATCTCGTGATAGAGGCGTTACCGTAGAGACCAAACAGTTTGTGTGTTTGGCCGTAAACGCGTTCATTTCTGCTGTGATGTAACACGGGGACTGACTCACTGCTGCCTCTGCTGGTTGTTAGAGGTACTGCAGGTTCTGTAACTTCCTGTTTTAGACCTAAAGTTTATTGGCTGATGAAGACTTTAGTTTGTG